TTGAGCCGATGTCGATACACCACCAAATATGAAGAACTGACTCTGGTAAAATGTGAACACGCCTTTCCCTTAAGACACTGGCGGAGCACGGGGGATTACTGGACTGATCATGACGCGAAGATGATGATCACTGACAGATGGAGATTCAACTGCGGGCAATAAAGGGTTAAAGTTTATTTTCACTATAACACCAAAGTATAGCCAACCATGTGCTGTGTTTGTTTCTGTATGAGACTATTATGTATGGCACTTTTTCAGACTGACAGGAACTTTGTGAGTAACTGTTACAGCTCATATGGACCAGTCTCTTCTTCTTGCTGATCATAACATGTAAGTGTGATTAAAATTGTTGCCTCCTTTTGTGTAGTTTGCAAAATATGTATTTAACTGTGTGTTGTAACTTGTAATCACAGCGGCTTGTAATCACTTATCTATTAACGTATTTGATTGTGCGTTGTAACTTGTAATCGCTCTGTATACAGCTTTTCAAGAGTTTACACTTAGCTGATGATTGATTATAAAGCTTGTTTGGCATGCTATCCTGGGAGAGAGCCCTGAGCTCATAAGATCCTTGAGCCCAGGGCTCCCTCCCGTTTGCAAGGTGAGAGGGGAGTTTGAGCTCAGATGGATCTCGAGAACTCTTCTGCTCTAATGAATAGATAGTGATTGCTCTTAAGAGATAACTACTTAGGTGCATATCTACTGTATGTTGCCGTTGGATTAGTCGATTACCTTAAGTTGTATGTTTTTGGACGGTGGGAGGAAACCAGAGAACCAGGGGGAAACCTACATGAGGCGAATGTGTAAACTCTGCACAGAAACATCGGCTGGCTTGGTAAGGACTAGAATCAGTGACGTTTTTGCTGTGAGGCAACAGTGCTAACCACTGGGCCACCATGCCACCCATCTAGGAAAGGAGAAGTAGGGGTGGAAGGGGGGATTCTTAAAAACTAAGATGGCTGTTATATGAACCTTCGGGTATTCATGGTGGCTTAGGAATCGTCTGATTGGTGAATCATGAATTGAATAATGTGGGACCAGCCACAAGCAATCATAATCAAATGATCCTCTCAAAATTAGTTTATAAATAAACTTCCCTTAATAACGTATCTATTATAGATCAGTGCTTGTAATGTCTCTCTCAGGTTCAATCTTTATGGGGCTATTCACATATTTCGTCCAAAATAACATTGAAAATGCGATGCCTGCTTCTTACTTTACCAATTTAAATGCGTTCCTGAACTCCCAATATTTACTATGGCCACCATTAGCTAATCCTACACGCACGCGGTGTGGTAAATTTTCAAAATAGTTCAACTTTAGCCACTGTGTTGTTGTTATTACTTGGGGTAGTGGTGAAGAATAGAGGAATATGCTGGTGTTTAACTATAAAAAAGTATGAATAATGCCATGCTGAGTTTAAATTAGAAAAATTTAGCAAAAGGATGCCATTTTTCTACACTCCCCTAACCCTTTTCATACATCCTTTCTTTTAAATTACCCATTAGGCAGTTAAATTACACTTTTTGAATTTTATATTTGCAGTAATATTGCAGTTCTATTAATACCATTAATAAAAGTAAAAAAAATAATAATAATAAGTGAATAATAACATTTTCAACATCTATAAAAAAGATGAAGGATGACAGAAGCTGTGTTTTTATGAAACAACAAGAGAGCAACTTTGAAATTCCCTGATGACGTTAAATAAATAAGTGTGCGCAAAATATTGAATAGTTTACATATTTTATTAGCTCACCAAACGCAAAGCTTTCATGAAGAAAAACATCATTTGACATCAGTTACCTAGATGGACCTGTTATCAGTTACAGCTGTGTAATTAAGCTTACCTCTGTAATATTGGTTTCTGAGTTCGAGAAGAACATAAACCTCATTACAGAAAAAAGGAATCGGAACAACAAGTCAAGATCATTAACCGTTATTTACATTATTACTATTTTAATTCTTTTTCAAATGTTTCCCAAGCGATGTTAAATAGATCAGAGACATTTTCACAGTATTTCCAATAGTATATATTTTCACTTCCTCCTTCCTTGTTTTCTTGTAATAAAAGTATTTTATTATTATTATTATTTTACTAAAATAAAGATTAGGCCTTTAAATTACTGTTGGCCAATATAACATATAAAAAAATATGTTAAACCAACAAAAAATTTCACATGAGGGGCTAATTTGCCAATTTATTTATTTTTATTTTTTTATATATATACCTAAAGTGGCATAATTTGAAATATTTGAAAGTTACGCAAATCAACCTTAGGGATTACTATACAATGAACTGATGTTGGGGTTTTTAACAGCAGTCTATACATCACTCGCTCAGACAGCTGACACAAAACATGAATGCAGATATGTAGTCTGTATTATTTTGCGTTTGTTTGTACATGCCCTGTCTTATTATACTTAAATGTCCTGTTAAATGTGTACAAATTATTACAGGCAGAGTTTAGCTTGTTTGACATCTGCTCCACTTGTGCCTGCCTTGATTTGTTCAAGCAAATGAGAACGAACATCAAGCCATGCCCAAACAGGCAGACTGAGGATTTCATCTAGAGGAAAGGCAGTTAAGTTCATTTCATGTGATCGTAAATTTCCCTTTCGCTCCTTCCCACCTCCAATTACTTATGACTTGACTGTCTTGAGACATAACATTCCCTTCAGATCTCTCTCAGATAAGTCTTTCAATGGAATTTGCTGCGTTACTAAACTCTGTCTATCACACGTCACACGCAATTTCTGCTCTCAGACGAGCGATGAGGGTCTGATAAGACTGATGAAGTAATGGAGATCTGGTATCACATTCTTGGAAAAAAAAAAAGGAGAAGACACAAGAGTTTCAATTTACCGTTGGGTGTGCCTTTAAAAGCATAGTTGTGTTTCATTGTAGTGTCTTTTTTACATTAATTATTCATAAGTCAACCAACTTACCATATGAAATGGATCTGAAAATCATATTCCTGGTTTTATTGTATAATAAAGCTGCAACTGCCAATTTGCAATTTGTGGTAAAATAATGAATAAAAAGGCTGTGGTCAAGTAAATAAATAAATTTAAAAAGTGTGACTGCTGAGAGCAAAAGATTCTGGAGCTACGGACACCGGCCCTCGCGGCCAAAAAACGGACCGGCCCACCGGGAATTCTCCCGGTCCTCCCGATTAGCCAATCCGGGCCTGATCTATGCCCTTGTCAGATTTGTACGGGAAGTCAAATTTTGATACAACTTTGATTCACTTCTTCTTGCGGGTGGGCCCATGCGGTTTGCGATATTCCGTAGTGTCTCTGTGTGAATGAGAGCGTATGGGTGTTTCCCAGTGATGGGTTGCAGCTGGAAGGGCATCCACAATGTAAAACATTAGCTGGATGAGTTGGTGGTTCGTTCCGCTGTGGCAATCCCAGATTAATAAAGGGACTAAGCCGAAAAGAAAATGAATAATTGAATGATTAGTCTTGTGCTGTAAACATTGTGCTCACCATTCTTAGGTTAATATTACTTTAAACAAGTAAATAATGACTATAAAAAATAATATAGTTGTTAGGTTAGACTGTTGCACTTTTTTGTGTTGTCAATAAGTTTGCTTATATAGTTCCTATTAGTGTGTGTGTGTGTGCACTGTTTGTATGTTTATAACCACCTCTAAGGATTGTGGGGGCTCATGAGTCTTTGGAATTGTTATTTTGGGAGTTACGAGCTAAAAAGTTTGGGAACCCCTGCTTTAAATGAACAGCTGATTTTTATTAGTGTGTTTTTTTCTCATTGATTATTAGTAAATCAACCAACATTTCATATTCTGAAGGAACAATAAGGATGTAAAATGTGATCTTGACCACAAAAAAGTTTTATATTTTTACAGTGAATTTTTACAAAAATACATTGTGTGGGTGAAAATTATCATTTTTTTTTCTTATATGGCAAAAATCATTATAATATAAAACTTAAAATTGTGTTTCAAGACGATATTTTGTTCATTTTCTACCATAAATATATCAAAAGTACTTTTTAATTAGTATTACAAAGAACTTAAATTAGTCAAATTTAAAGGCAGTTTTCTCATTATTTCTTTATTTTAATTTTTTACAGATTTTTGATATTTACATACTTGTATCTTGACCAAATATCATCCCATCCTAACACACCACACAATAAAAGAGATATTGTTTATTTATCTTTCAAATGGTGCATAAATCTCAAATATTGTTCTGGTTTTGTGGTTCAGGGTCATAAGTGTGCACTCCTGCTTTTATTATACTACAGGGATACTAACGGCAACCAGTGAATAAATAAAATACCTAAAATAAATTTCAATTCAGTGTAAATCAAAAACTTGAACCTAATGGAAAAATCAATTGTCATGATAATCAAAGTGTATAATAAATTGTTCTAGCAGTCATCAAGCACTCGTCACAGGAAATAATCTGACCTGTGTGGGTGAGGGAGACCAAATCCCACAGGCCATATGGTGTGTAACGGCAGCGAAGACACTGATACTGATGACAGAGATGGACACAAGTGAAATCATGGTGTCTGGGAGGCAACAGAAGAGCATTTTTTTTCTCTAATTCTGTTATATGTCATCATTGGATTCATTTTTAGACCATTTTGTATGATAGTGCGAGTGTACAGTCCTGATGAGGACAAATGCTGTAGGTTTTGTGGACATGAAAGGCTTCATACTGCTTTTAAGGCTTTTAAATTGTTTATAAATGAAATGGCGCCTCAGTGCTGTAGACTTTACCATGTCTTTTAGGATGTGTTTGTTTACCATTGGCTATACAGAAGAATCAACTTTTAGCTGATACAGTGTGTCCAGTCTCTGTTTAAAAGCAGATGCTTCTTTTCTAGTTGAAGTTGAAGTGATTATTTTAAGTGTGAATATGAAATATCTATGTAGAATTTTTTGATTAGTAAAACTAAAATATAGAAAGGCTCATATAAAATAGAAGGTTGAATAATGTTCTGACATATTTTTTTCTTCTTCTAGATGGTATTACATGGACTGTGCCTTCTAAAGTCGACTGCAAGATGTTATTCAGATCTGACTACATCCCAGTATGTAACATCCACCATTCATTCATTCATTCTTTTTCTTTCGGCTAAGTTCCTTTATTCATCAGGGGTTGCCACAGCGGAATGAACCGCCATCTTTAAAATCTGTTCCTGTAAAATTCAAGTGGAATTCGCAATATTGCTGCTTTTTTTTTTTTTTTTTTTTTTGCATTTTGATTATTTTGATCATTTTGATCATCAGTTAAATTTAGTTTGGGTGAGCATAAAAGACTTTTTCTCAAAAGCATTTCAGAAATCTCACTATAAATCCACACTTTAAGGAAATCTTGGTGTCTGTCTTTGTGCATGACTTTGCATTCATGAGACTCTGTTAGAGCTTCTGTTCATTTTAACTCATCCAAACACATTTTTTTCAATGGATCAAGCTTAATTAACCATGTAATGCCTAGAAACCCCACTAAAAGTGTACTTTGTTTTCACTAAAGGTGGGCATACACCGTGCAATTTTTACTGTTGTTTGAGCTTGTACATGATTTTTGCCCATCAGGAGAAGTAACACTCATATGGTCATGGCTTTTACTGTGAGGAGCTTCCTGGCGATTTTTAAACTTATCAAAAATAAAAAAAAACTAAAACATTCAGGAACTGTCAGTCTGAACAGTGTGCGGTTGAATGAGCCAATCTGTCGATCTATCTGAAGTTGACCAATCAGGAGGATAAACTCACTGAACCGCGAGTGCTATATGATGGTCATGCATGACAGGGTCATCAGAGATGATAGTTTACTGTGGACTAGGCTTTATAATTCACACACAAGGGGTTACCAGGAACCCTGATGTCCCAGTGCTAAAAATAACCTATGTTTGTAACAGTTATTCACAGCTTGTATCATTAATATGAGAGAGAGTGATAGAGAGAGAGAGAGAGAGAGAGAGAGAGAGAGAGGCCCTAAATTTCTTTATCTGTCCATGTTTTGTATAATTTTATACAATTGCTTACCAGTCCATAATATCATGTCCTATATTGTATCACTGCATGTGAATCATTTTTACACTAACTCACTCATGAAGTGTGCATTGACATACGATCTTCTGACCATTAGTATTTGCACTGTGTACACTGAATAACTGGAATGAAACTCTGATTGTCTAAATGAACACTACTGTTGCAACAAACACAACATTTACTTCCAACATAGGCTCATTCTGAAAACGTTTGTTGTACAGTTGGCGGTTGAACTGGTGAGCTGAACCAGAAATCGTGTGAACTGTACCCCAGACCACCTCTTTCAGGCGGACTCTAATATGGTTCGTTGGCGCGCACATGAGTTCAGAAGACACGTTCACACTAGCTAAACGTACCATACTCTGACGGAAACTAATCCAAAAGTGCTAGTGTGAAAGCACCCTAAGTGACATTGCGTCAGTTTTGCACATTTGCAAAGGACACATTCTTACAAAACAACAGCAAAACGCTGCATTTATAAAGTGTTCTTCACACATGTGAGTGGGCTTCACAAACCACCTGTAGAAACTTCTCACCAAACCCCCCCTCCCCTCCCCTAACTCTAGCACTTAATTCTCCAATAAGCACAAATAATTTATTTATTTAATGAGCACTTCTTGTGTGTATTGCCTCTTTTTGTTGAATCACTGAATGCCTCCTCAACTGTAGGTCGCTTTAGACAAAATCGTCTGCTAAATGACTAAATATCAATGTAATGTTGTAATCTCTTAGTCACTGCCATTTCATAGACTAGCATGATCAGGAAGTAAAAATAAATCTCCTTCTGCAGTCTGGCAGAAAAAGAAAAACAGCATTACAGCATTAGATCAACACCGGGATCAGAAAATGATGACTGAATTTTCATTTTTGGGCGACTGTTGACTTTAATACTCTGTAATCAGTATCTGAAAACTGTTTAGCATACATTGTTATGGCTATAGTATTATACATGTCATATTGGGAATTTTTCTCAGCTATCCAACATGTTCGTTTGATTACAAGAACCGACCGCTCCGTTATTACCTTTCAGTCTCTCCGAAACCCCAGAATTAGAGTTTGTGACCAAACGTCTGTTTGCATGTAACATGTCAACATGATGTGTGTTTTATGTTGACACTCTCCAGCATTTGCATGACCAGCATCCCATGTTTCCCTCTGACTTGTTTAGGGAAGGTAACCAGGCAAATAAATGCAAATTTATCACTGCACAAAAGATTGATTTCAGGGTTGCCGGAGAAGAAAGGGGCGGATAGATTTTCTTCTCCGTTTTCAGAGCTAAGTGGCTCCGAGACAAGAGCAGCATGCACACGAACATCTCATATAACCGCACACACACACACACACACACCGCACTCATTTCTAAATGCTCTCTCTTTATCATGGCTGATGAAATCATATTTCAGACCTTCATTAAGAGAGCTAGGATGAAATAGATCATTTAGAAAGAAAACACATCGCTGGACATTTCCTTCATCTGGTGGTTTTTCTCCGTTCTTTCATCAAAGGAGCAACATACACATTTTCATTCTTCACGTCTCTCATATTCATTACCCAGAAAGCGAGTGTGTGTGTGTATGTGTGTGTATGTGTGCACCTTTATTCCTCTGTTCATTTTGAGAGGATACAGCTGCTCCTTTAGATTTTCCAAACATCCCAAAACCAACCTTTTTATTTATCCAAGAGTGTGAATTACAAACAGCTGCATGCAGTACAGTGTGTGTGCGTGTGCATGTGTGTGTGTGTGTGACCCCTTCATTTCCTGTGTCTGTGTAAAAGTTCCTGCCGATTGTTCCTTAGGGTAGGAATCAGAGGCACAACCCAGCGGCCAACCACTTCCGCCAAAGACTCGCACACCCATGTCCTGTCTCTTCAGCTGGAGCTTCACACAACAAGCGGAGAATACGAAGAGTGTGTTTGTGCCAATCTGAATAACTGGAAAAAAAAAGTTGCTTTCTATTTATTCCGAATCATTGTGCAGTTGAACGAACAGTGAAAAGACGCACAAAACCACATTAAATGGCGGCGCAGATTGCTTCCGTGGCTGCATATAGTGCTCCGTCTTTGTGTTTTGTGCATTTGTGTGGGTGTCGCCCTGTTCTAACCGTACATGAACTTGATGACTGTTTGCTTTGGAAATTAAATGCTATTTCTCACAGCATACCCATTCTCACTTGCGTACATGTGCTGCTGTCTTGCTGTCACCGGGTCTCTTTTTCTTTTTTCTGTCCGTCCAGCAGGGAATTGTAAGGCAGCTCTTTGAGTGTGGGTTTGTAACAGGGCTCGGCTCGGCCTCTATTTGGCTCCCGGTGCTTTTGGCTTGAGTCTCTGGCTTCATGTCTGGCTGTACTCTCTGCTGAAATGGTTGGCCGTTGCATTAGCGCTGGATTAATTCAACAACTCTTTAGTCTGTTAGTTGACTTTATTCTGTTGAAATCTTGTTTGGGTTGAACACTACCGTTCAAATGTTTGAGGTCAGTGAGATTTTATTGCGTGTTTCTGAAATTGGTTTCTTATGGAGATCGAGGATTTGATCAAGGAAATTCTGTAAAAAATGGTAATAAGGTCAAATATTATTACAAAATTTTAATTACTTTGGTTTTTTGTTTTAAGATTTTCTAAAATGTGAATGTTCTGCTTTATTACCACCTGTCAACATTGGGATTTGAAAATAAGGGACCCCATCATCCCCACCACCCCCACCCCCTCTCTAAAAAAAATGTTGAAACTGTCAGTAATATGCTTGTATTAATTTATTTGTACTATTGATAAATGTTATTATTCACAAAAGATAGAATAGCATACATTACAATGTGAAACCCAACAGTCAACTTTATCAAATAAAATGAGTGTAGTTAACTCAAAATTGACTGAAAGTTATTTCTACTCATTTGAAAAGAGTTTTGAACTCATTGTTGAAGGGAATGAGTTAGTTAAATACTTCATTACTTCAACTTAAATGAAGTAAGTTCACAGAACTCATATAGATTAGTTTATAACTCAAATGGTTTTTAGCAATCGATTTCCTCAAACTGTTTGAGTTGCCTTAACTTATTGGGTTTTACAGTACTCAGATGGTTTGAGTTCTCTTCATTTATCAGGTTTTACTGTGCTCAAATTGCTTCATTTACTCAAATAAAATAAGTTCACAGTACTCATTAGGATTAGTCTTTAAACTTAAATGGCATATTGCAATCGGTTTCCTCAAATGGTTAGAGTTACCTTAACTTTTTGGGTTTTACAGTGTAGAAAACCTATAAAACCTTATAAAATTAATAGCTATTGTAAGAAATGGAATCAAGTTATCAAATCTCATTAATCTTTTCTTCACAGTATAAACCTTCTGATTAAAGACAGCAAATGAATCTCTCATTTAGATTTACTTTGATTAAATTAAATAACAGTGGTGTCAGTTTAAAAATGAACACATATGTCATGAAAGCATTTGGTTATTTTCCTAAATTTTAATACTCATTTAGGACAAAATGTGTTGTGTTTAAAAGAAAACCTACTTAAATCTTCTTCTTCTTATTATTATTATTATTATTATTATTATGATTATTATTATTATTATTACAGAATCTATTTATCACTATAGAGTGCGTCAGCTGTCAGTCACGCATCGTTACATGAACTGACTGTTTTGAGGATTGCAAAGGAGGAGCGACGGTGCCTATAATGGAAAGAAGGGAATTCTGCCATTTTAATATATATTTTTAAAGTGCATTAAATAAAATAAAAGCACAAAACAGATTCACATTTAAGTGATTCGGCGGTATGGGTTGCGTATAGGTAGGATCAGCTCTTTGATGTTTATTGCCACCCTTCATAGAAAGGTAAAAAAAAATATGGGACAAATACAGGAAAATAGCTTTACGGGATGATAGTGGAATACAATTGTAAAATTCGGAAAACCTCAGATAAAAAATGCGAGTGTTGACAGGTATGATTATTACTCTAGCCTTCAGTGTCACATGATCATTAAAAAAATACTTAGAATTAGCTAGTTTGGCTAATTTATTAATGTTACTAATGTTCATAATGTTTTATTAAAGCCTATTTTTTCTTATATTATATATATGTGTGTGTGTGTGTGTGTGTGTCCTTACAAAATAAATTATGCAGGCAAAACTTGACTTGCAACAAAAAAAAAATGCTTTTTATTTCCTAAAAAGAAAGAAAAATATATATGTACTAAACATATTTTGACTGTAGTGATCATTAGCATATTGGCAGCATCTAATATCACCAAACAACCCTCTAAGCTTTATGGAATATTAAATTGTGGAATTATCAATAGGTTAATAGGTCGATTTGATTGTTTTTAACCAGATTAAACATATTCAGTGCCTTCACAATCATGTTTTCCATTGAATTTAACAACATAACAGATTTTTTGTGCAGTTTCAAGCACAATATTCTTTCATTTTGAAGGGTTTTATCACTGTACTCAAGCCTAAACTCCCAAATGTTAATATGAATGTTAATTCAGTCCTCATTTATTCGTCACTGCCTAATCATTTTGTTTGCCATGGAACAGCTGCGGTAATAAAAATGACAAACACACCATGAACATAAACATAATCCATTTACGTCTGCATTAAACTGCAAGTCATCAGAAAACATATGATAGCTCAGCGTGAGGAAAACGCCAGTTTACGCCTTGCATATTATATATCAAACTCAGATGTTGCATTCAATATGACATTCAAACTTTAACATATGACGCTGTATATTTATCAACTTTTCTTATTTTTGAAAAGTGGTTTGAAGGTAAAAATCGCTTTTGTCTGAAGCTGTGCCCATAAAAATGTACTTTTATGTTTTAGATGCTGAAGCTTACAGTATGTGAGGGTCAAAGACAAAGGAAATTCAATCCTCAAAGCCATGAAAAAGTTACACTGCATTATTTTCTCCGTAAATCTGTTTTTTTATTTTTTTTATTTGTTGATAAAGTATTATGACTGTTAAACATTTTTACCATGATTTTCTAAAGAAACCTTAATTACTGACCTTAATTACTATGTACTTACATTTAAATTGATTATTTAGTACAATGCACTTAATATGTACATGTTTTTACATTCATTCATTTGTTTATTTTCCTTCATCTTAGTCTCTGATTCTGAGGTCACCACAGCAGAATGAACTGCCAATTCAGCAACACAGTACTGTGAAACACCCATACACAATCATTCATACTCACACTCATACACTATGGCCAAATTACCTCATTCAATTTACCTGTACCGCATGTCTTTGGACTGTGAGGGAAACCAGAGCACCCGGAGGACACTCATGCCAACACTGGGAGAACATGCAAACTCCACACAGAAATGCCAATTGGCCCAGCTGGGACTCTTACCAGTGACCTTCTTGCTGTGAGGCAACAGTGCTAACTGAGCCATCATGCCATTGTTTTTACATTGTACTAATATTTTTAAAATAATCTGCTCATAATTACATCTGTAATTAATTTCTGTGATAACAGTACATTTATAAATACACTGTTGACCCAGGCCTTACCTTAACCAAATCTTAAACCTACCCAACCCAGGCTCATTCTGAAAACGTAGCCCTTACATTTCTGGAGAGAGTGAAATATGTTCCAGGAGGTATGTTGTTTTTTGCACTTTTTGTTTTAGCAAACCCACCAGAGGCCACTGTGTACGTTTTTTTAGATCTTAAATTGCTCTGGTGTAAATCCACCAGAGGCCACTATCAACTGACTGATGCCTGATCGACTGACCCATCCTCCTCCTTCCCTAAACCCAACCAATAGTGTTTTCAAAAGCTCCGATTGACCCAATAACACACTTTTCTAAAGCCAACAGACATTTTTCAAAAGCAATCCAGAAAAAAACCTATCATCTGATTTATTTTACCACATTTTCAGATTTTACCACAATGTCACCCTTTTATTTACTTGTTTATTTTATTTTTTGGCATCTGTTTTTGTTTTACCTGCTTTCCGGAACCATTCTTCACTGTACTCGAACCCCGTTGTCGTGGTCAACTCTTCTCTGCGTCTAAAGTCTGCCAACTTACGTGGCGAGCTAATTGGACAAACTGGTAACAGTCGGAAAGCCATCCATATGGAGGTAAGTGGACAGCTGGTAAGTTCGCTTTAGCGTTTATTGGTAAGTGCCCCGTAGCGTTCATTTTTAAGACGAAATGCAACTATATGTACTTCTGGCTACATAATTCAAGAACTCCAGAAATGAGGGTTACGTTTTCAGGATGAGTCTGAGTTGCCCAGACTTGTCCCTAACCTTAACCATATCCCACTTCAAGAGCCCCACAAGTGTTCTGTAATTAAACATAATAAGTTGCGTACCAATAAATCTTGTCCGTCATATTTAAAATAAAAAAATCATTTGCCGATGCTTTATTTATAGATCCTTGCCGCCCCAAAATACAATTGATTTGTCATTTTAAATCCTAATAATTTTCCACTATCTTTCAAAGCACTAGGTTTTATCTATCAGCAAGATATTTTTAATAATTTAAAATGTTGTTGAATTTAGAACGATACCTTCATCTTTTATGCACTTTTAATAAGTAGGTCAAAATAACTTTGTTATTTATTTTTAACAAAAGTATATCTGTTAAGCTGACCTCACTATAATATTATTTCATTCATGGGCCATTCTTCAACCACGGGCACTTTTAGCTTTATGAAGTTAAGTAAACATAACGTAAAAAACCTCATAAGTTTAAACAATTAGTCTAGTTTTAAGATCTATAAGAGGGCCAACTTAGAACAGAAGATAATCATTTTTTTTCATCCTGAACTGAACCAATGTCAATTCCACCACATCTCAATATACAGCTTTTATTTCAAAATGAAATAAATTATGGCAGTCAAACATTGTCTAAGATCATTTTTGTATCTAGTTTAACCAATCTTTCCACAATATATACAGTAATTATACATTTGTCAATGAACTATTATATATTTCATTGTTATAATTAAATATTGGTAGGATGCTGAATTGTACACCTGTCACACTCTTAAATGTAATATTAATTTGGTTAAGAGCTTATTAGAAAATAAACAAGCTGAATTTGTATATTAAATAGAGCATGAACTTATACATTGTTAATACACTTTTAATATTTGATTAGTTTTTTTTTCTTTTTTTCTTTTTTAATGTGTGT